TAAAATAATTCATCACATGACAGGCTACAGAAGAAAAATGACATGAGCATACCAATAGGTGCAGAAAAAGCACTTAAGAAATCTAATATTCATGACAAAAAACTCACAGCAAACTAGGAATAGAAGAGAACCTCCTCAACTTGATAAATCTACAGAAGACCTCCAGTTGACATCATGCATAATGGTGAGAAGCTAGATGCTTTCCCCCTAGGATCAGCAACAAGGCAAGGATACCCCCTCTCATCACTCCTAGTTAACATCATACTGAAAGTCCTAAGGAATGCATTAAGACAAGAAAAGGAAATAAAAGATACAGATGAGAAGGAAGAAATAAAACTGTCTCTTTTTTTCCACAAAAGATATGATCATCTTTGTAGAAAATCCTAAAGAATTGACAGAAAAACTCCTGCTACTAAAGCAAGTTGTTTTCAGGGTACAAGATTAATATACAAAAGTCAATTGCAGGGGTGCCCAAGTGGCTCAGTCAGTTAAGTGTCTGCCTTTGGCTCAGGTCATGATCTCAGGGTCCTGGGATTGAGCCCCACATCAGGCTCCCTGATCACCAGGGAATCTGCTTCTCCCGCTTCCTCTGTCCCTCATCCTGCTCATGCACTCTCTCTCTCAAAATCTTTTTTTAAAAAATCAAATAAACAGGGGCACCTGGGTGGCTCAGTCGTTAAGCGTCTGCCTTCGGCTCAGGTCATGATCCCGGGGTCCTGGGATCGAACCCTGCATCGGGATACCTGCTCGTCGGGAAGCCCGCTTCTGCCTCTCTCACTCCCCCTGGTTGTGTTCCCTCTCTCGATGTCTCCGTCAAATAAATAAAATCTTTTTTTAAAAAAGTTAAAAAAAAAACAAAAACAACAAAAAGTAAATTGCAGGGGTGCCTAGGTGGCAAAGTCGTTTAAAGCAACCAACTCTTGGTTTCACTCAGGCCCTGATCTCAGGGTCGTGAGATCCAGCCCTGTGATGGGCTCCACCCTCAGCAGAGTCTACTTAGGACTCTCCCTCCCCCTCTGCCTCTCCCCACCCCGTCTCAAATAAATAAATACATCTTTTTTAAAAAAAAAAAGTCAATTGCAATGAACAATTTGAAATAAAAAATAATGCCATTTACATTAGCACACACACCCCCAAAATGGAATACTTATGTATAACTCTAACAGAATATGTACAAGATCTCTGGTGGAAGAAATCAAAGATCTAAATAAATGGAAAGATATTCCATGTTCATGGATAGAAAGACTCAATATTGTAAAAATGTCAGCTCTTTTCAAGTGAGCCAGATTCAGTGCAAACCCAATCAAAATCCTAGCAAGTTATTTTGTGGATATCAACAAACTGATTTTAAAATTTATATGGAAGGCGGAGGTGGGTGGTGGGGGAAGCAAGAAAGGCCAACACAGTATTGAGGGAGAAGAACAAAGACAGAGGACTGAACCTAATTTCAAGTCTGACTATAAGCTTCCGTAATCACTACAGAGTTGTACTGGCTAAAAAACACAAAACAAAAACAAACAAACAAAAAACAGATAAAATTGATCAATGGAACAGAATAGAGAGCCTAGAAATAGACCCACACAAATAGAGTCAACTGATATTTGGCGAAGGAGCAAAGGCAATTCAATACAGAAAGGACAGCCTTTTCAACAGATGGTGCTGGAACAAATGGGCATCTACATGGACAAAAATGGAATCTAGACATAGATCTTTACACCTTTCACAAAAAAAACTAGCTCAAAATAGGATTAGAGACCTAAACATAAAACACAAAGCTGCTACAAGCTAGGAGAAAATCTAGGTGACCTTGCATTTGGCAATGACTTTTGTTTTATTCTTATTTAAGTAATCTCTATACCCAACATGGGGCTCAAACTCACCACCCCAAGATCAAGAGGTGCATGCTCTTCTGACTGAGCCAGCCAGGTGCCCCTTGGCAATGACTTTTTAGATAGGACACTAATTGCACAATGAAAAAAATTGGCAAGCTGGACTTTATTAAAATTAAAAACTTATGCTCTGTGAAAGGCACTGCTGAAAGAGTGAAAAGACAAGTGACAAACTGGAATTAAATATTTGCAAAATACACACAGATCCGACCCAGGACTTGTATCCAAAACACACAACTCTTAAAACAGTAAGAAAGCAAACACCCAATTAAAAAATTAGCAAAAGATCTGAACAGACACCTCACCAAAGAAGACCTACAGATGGCAAAGAAGCAAATGAAAGGATGCTCCACCTCTTATGTCACCAGGGAAATGCAAAGTAAAACAGTAATGAGATACCACTACACGCCTATTAGAATGGCCATGATCCAAAACGCTGACAACACCAAATGCTGGTGTGGAACAACAGGAACTCATTGCTGGAAGGAATGCAAAATGGTACAGCCACTCGGGCAGTTTCTCACAAAGCTAAATGTACCCTTACCAGCTAGCAGTCATGCTCCTTGGTATTTACCCAAATGAGTTGAAAACGTATGTCCCCAGAAAAACCTGCACATGAATGTTTATAGCAGCTTTGTTCATAACTGTCAAAACTAGAAGCAATCAGGGGTGGCTGGCTGGCTCAGTCGGTAGAGCGTGCAACGCTTGATCTCAGGGTTGTGAGTTCAAGCCTCATGTTGGGTGTGGAGCCTACTTACAACAAAAAACAAAAAACAAAAAAAACCTGGAAGCAATCAAGATATCCTTCCATAGGTGAAAGAACAGATAAATTGTGGTGCAACCATATGATAGAATGTTACTCAGTGATAAGAAGTGAGCTCTCCGGGGGCGCCTGGATGGCTCAGTTGGTTGAGCAACTGCCTTCGGCTCGGGTCATGGTCCTGGAGTCCCGGGATCGAGTCCCGCGTCAGACTCCCTGCTCAGCAGGGAGTCTGCTTCTCCCTCTGATCCTCCCCCCTCTCATGCTCTCTGTCTCATTCTCTCTCAAATAAATAAATAAAATCTTTAAAAAAAAAAAAAAAGAAGTGAGCTCTCGGGGCGCCTGGGTGGCTCAGTTGGTTGAGCAACTGCCTTCGGCTCGGGTCATGGTCCTGGAGTCCTGGGATCGAGTCCCGTGTCAGACTCCCTGCTCAGCAGGGAGTCTGCTTCTCCCTCTGATCCTCCCCCCTTTCATGCTGTCTCATTCTCTCTCAAATAAATAAAATCTTTAAAAAAAAAAAAAAAGAAATGACTTCTCAAGCCACTACAGGGCAGGGAGCAGCCTCAAATGTTATCACTAAGTGAAAGAAGCTGATTGAAAGTCCACATGCGGTGAGATCCCAACTCTAGGACATTCTGGAAAAGGCAAAACTGTGGAGACAATGAAAAGATCAGTGGTTGCCAGGGGTTTGGGAAAAGGGAGGGAGGGACTCCGTGGGGCATACGGGGATTTTTAGGGCAGTGAAACTATCATGTAGGAGACTGCACTGGGGCATATATGACAGCATGCGTTTGTCAAAGCCCGTTGGCCGCACAACACAGCAAACCCTCCTACGGAGCACAGGCGTCAGTAAACAGTACTGCGTCAGGACCAGGTCCGCAGCCAGAACACACGCACATGTGGCCTTTTAGTTGGCCCTTCATATTCCCCAGCCTATGGACTAAAGTAAGGTCAGCGAAAACCTGTGTCTAACTCCAGCCTACTGCCTGTGTTCATATGGCCCATGAGCTAAGAATAAACCCTACATTTTCAAATGGTTGAAAAAACAAAACATTTCATGATACATGGAAGTTATACAAATATAAGCTGCACTGCCCACCCTCAGTGCCCAGCGGTGTTCATTTGTGAAACACTGAGTAGCTCTCAAATTCTAAAATATTTACTGAGTGGCTCATTTTGGTGTGTGTGGGGGGGAGGCAGAATATTTATACTTTTGTGTGTCTCCTTACAGAAAGTTTTCTGACTCCCATACAAAATGGTAAATTTAACCAAAGCCTACGTATGATAGTGAGGAAAAAGGGAAAGAAAACTATTAAAAATATATAAATGGAGGGGTACCTGGGTGGCCCAGTCAGTTAGGCAGCCAGCTCTTGATTTCAGCTCAGGTCATGATCTCAGGGTCCTGGGATCGAGTCCTGTGTTGGACTCCCTGCTTAGCAGGGAGTCTGCTCGAGGGTTTTCTCTCCCTCTGCCCCTCCCCCTTCAAATAAATATTTGTCTGTCTGAGCACAGAGTAGGTGAGTTAAGAAGGTGATGATGATGATGGTGGTAAAGATGACATTTATTACGTATTTTTAATATTCTGGATACTGTTCAAGATGTTTCACCTTTTGTATGTGTTAAGGAAATTCTAGCTACTCCAACAGATAAACCCTGAAATCTCAGAGCTGAACACAATGTTAAGATTACTTCTCATTCATATGAAGTTCAGTTAGCGACGGGAATGGTGGCGGGGGATGTCACTGCTCCACACAATCATGAAGAGACTGGGGCTGACCAAGGCTCTGCCATCTTCAACATGTGATTTCCAAGGGTGTGCTGGGCCTTGGCATCTATCCAGCAGGTGGGAGGTAGGCAGTTGGGAGGATTATGCCAGAGGTCTTATGGACCAGCCATATTGCCCAAAGCTTAGTCAGACGACCCCCATCCAGGTGCAAAAGGAGAAGGGCTGGGAAGTGTATGTGTATGTATATATGTATATGTGTGTGTGTATATATATATATATATATATATATGAATGGATATATGTGGATATATGCTGTATCTAAAAAGTAAATACAGGTATGGTCCTATTTTATTGTAACCAGTCAGAAGACCTTGGCTGACCTTATCCTTCCCTCCTTCATGGGTGAATTTTAATGACATAAATAATACCTCAATGAAGCCGATGCTTTAAAAGAAGGCTTTGCAGGCCACCTATCATCAAGCTACAGGACAATCATGTCCCTAGTGTAACTGAACTCAAGTTCATTTGCCCAATACACCGCAAAGCTAATCACGGAGACATCGAGTGTGCAGCAAGAAAAGGGTTTATTCAAGAGGTAGCCCAACGAGGAGACAGGAGGCAAGGCTCAAATTCGCCTTCCTGGAGCAGAAGAGTGAGGGGTACTTAAGGCCAACAGAAAAGGCCTGGGTAAAAAGTTGCAGCTGCACTTCTTAGTCCTGTTGGTCACCGGTTTCAATCCCCACTGCCTTTTGATCATTCCTCACTCATGAGGGAATTGGAACAACGACCACTCTAGTTCCTTCCTGCTGAAATGGGGTTAGATCGGGGTTGACAAATGGAAACTTTATGTATTTAGAATGATTCTTTGATTTCTTGGAACCAGCTCTCGAAAATAGAGTTTCAGGTCCTTCAGTGGCTCGACAGTCCAAGCAGGATTCCTTTTGATGTTCTCCTGGACAGGGTGCTAGGGACCTGAGGATTCTTGTGGTACCAGCTCAATGTGGTGCTGAATCCACCACTTAATTCTCTTCCGTTTCACTGGAGAATGGCTGGTCAACAGCACCTCATAAGAGGTCCTGTTCCATGAGGTCAGAGTTGGTCCTCCAGGTGCCTGCTCTTATGGTCTTTGGGACACCACATCTCCAGCATTCAGACAGGTATTAAGGACACATCTGTGGCGTTCATCAACCTGCCAGAAGCACACGTAGAGTATTTCCCAAAGACTGAGAGTATCCAGTTCCCTAACATGAGCCCCATTGGAATGCCTAAGTCATGAAAAGAGTATAGAATATATATAGAGAGAGAATATTTTATATATATACATATATATATATATATAATGGTTCGGGGGGCTGAAACCATGCCTACTTCTAGAGGCCACTCTTACCCAAAGCAGGGCAACCAGCAAAGCAAACCAACTTTCCCAAGTTGGTTTCATGGCAAAATTTTTGCCAGAGTTCTTAGCTGTTTCATTTATCCAGGAAGCATGTAATTTCCAGTGAATGCCCAAGGCACTGGACACTTAGTATGACTTTCAGCACAAACACCACTCCCTTGTCACTCTGAATTGTTAGCGGCAATCCAAATGTAGGAATTATTTTAAAGTGTTTTGACAACTTCTGACGCCTTCTTGGAATGCATGGAAAAGCTTCAACCCAACTTATACAGGAATCTACAGCAACTAGCAAATATCAAAAATGACCAGTCGGTTTTGGCACCATGGAAAATCTACCCACCAGGCTTCTCCAGGTTCGGTGCCTCTAAGTTGTTCTAGAAGTCTGACTTGGAGCATCTTCAGATGGAGTGGGGGCAAGCAGTAACAACTGGATAGATTTTTCCAGTTTGCAACTTGAAGGTCTCCGCTAATCTTTCTCAGTGGCCCACAGAGCAACAGGCATGTGAAATCCTCTCCTCTCAAGGTGCCAAAGTATCCTGGGGTTCCTGCACCTGCCAGGAAATGACCTTCCTTACTCATCTGGTAAGGCTGCTGGGAACACTGTAGGCAAGCTACCAGGCCAGTTTTCCCAAGGGGCTCATTGGTACCATAAAGTCAACCTTAGTTCCTTTTTTTAAATTTATTTATTTGACAGAGAGAGAGTGAGAGCACAAGCCGGGAGACAGAGGGAGAAGGAGAAGCAGGTACCCCACCGAACAGGGAGCCCGACATGGGACTCGATCCCAGGACCCTGGGATCATGACCTGAGCTGAAGGCAGCCGCTTAACCGACTGAGCCACTCAGGCGCCCCAAGTCAACCTTAGTTCCTAAAAGCTGTCTGGTCGTATCTGAGTCTGTGCTTGTCTCTCAAATACGACATTCCAGTGGCTTGGTTGTATGATGTTTCCAATTGTGTCTTTTTCTTATTATTATAGTTCTGCTTTAATACAGTAAGATTTTAAAATACACAGATATTGGGGGAAGAAGCAAAGCAGTAGGAAGTACTGAGAGCACAATTTTGCTTTAATTTGGGTCTTCAGTTTCTAATTGTAACAGCAATCACACTTCTCAACAATGTCTACCAGTTCTGCAAACACATCTGATGGTAACATTAGAGCAATACCATTACACTGGTCTTGTCAAATACCCACTCCATAAATTCACTCTGTTTCATCCGGGTTTTTCATAAGAAAAGAGGCATATCTGTAATTCACAATCAGAGTCAGTTCTGAAGACTTAGATATGAAGTATTCCCTGTCAACTTGCTTCTTGAACTGAATTTTAAAAAAAAAAAAACAAAAACAGTATAGGGGCGCCTGGGTGGCTCAGTTGGTTGAGCATCTGCCTTCGGCTCAGGTCATGATCCCAAGGTCCTGGGATCAAGTCCCATGTCGGGCTCCTTGCTCAGCAGGAAGCCTGCTTCTCCCTCTGCCTGCCGCCCCCCCACTGTGCTTGTGTTCCCTCTCTCTCTCTCTCTGACAGACCATCTTGGCCCCAGTCCTGGTTGTCTGATGGCAGATTTCTCTTGAGAGGCCTAAAGTTGTAATAAAAAACATTGTTTTCATCTACTGCTTGGTATTCCTGTTCAGTTTCAGTTAAGAAGCCACTTCCAGATCCTGATCCGAAGCCAGAGCCAGAGCCAGATCCAAAATAGTCCTCAGAAAGAGGGAAAACATCATTCAAGTTCTGGGATCTTGTCATTGAAGCAGGGTCAGTCCTTGGAGGAAGGATTCTGTTGGATTCACCGGGAAGTAGGTTGAATGTTGGCCCCTTCTCATCCATGCGGTTTGCAGAATTACCGTCAGGACTGCAGCAAACCCACTGGTACCTGGCTCTCTGCACAGGACAACCGTGAACTGAAGAATCCAAAAGCAGGACAGCAAGAGCCAGGAGCAGCTGCGTGGTGACCAGTTCACTTCAGTTCACGATTAGGAAATGTAGCAGCATGCACTCTGTTCCTTGTAGAAAAAGTTCAAAAACCTCAAACCCTGCCCAGAACACATGTCAATTTCCTCTCCCCACTCCTGTCCTTGTCTGTGTCCCGGCCCCCAACATAAGAATACTCACTGAGAGTTTCTGAATCTTGGAGGGATGGAGTAGGGATGAAAGATAAATGCTTTATATGTGTTTACAAAGGAATATTTTACCAAATTTCTGAAAGTCATAGATAGCTTAGAAAAAATGTTCTTAAATCTGGAAGAACAAACATCAGAGAACCAGCAATGTTTCAAACAAGAATCACTAAAATAATATATAATCAACACCTTTCCTATTACTACTTTGGGATATCGTCTTCCAGAAGTTTGGGGGCTGTGTTTTCCATATTCTTTAATAATCCCAGGAGGTCCCAGGTTCCTTCAGCAAAATTTACCAGTTTGAAGGTGGTAAACCTTTGGGCCTTTTTGCAAGAAGTAACCTTGGTCATTTAATGATCCAAGAAAAATTTCAAAATCAGCATCCTGAAATGTTTATTGCTCTTTGGCAATCTGTGGAAGCTAATGAAATTGAAATCCTCAGCATCTTTTTTGGTTGCTTCCTCTCTCCCTTCTGACCTTGCTTGGGCCTCTGTTAGACAAATAAGAGATCCCAGCTGCCTGGTGGGCCATTTAACCATTGGCTCTGTTTCCAGAGCTCCAGGTAAAAATCTTGAGGAATTTGAGCAGCTTCCGTGGATGGCCTTGGATGGACATACTGCCGAGCATAACCAGTGTACTTTCTCAATTGCGGGTGAGGATTGGATCTTGGGTTTCACCAGGAACCACCTTTAATCTTTCTCATGATGTTTTATCAGAAACCACTTCAAGTACAGAAGTATTTGAATCTTGAGGATTCATATGAGCTGCCATGGTTCTCTGCTTTCCAGCTCTTAATGCAATCACATATGCAGACAATAAAGTGGTCGTGCTTCTCATTTGGAGTGTACCAGGCTAAAGACCAAGTCAAATCTGGACAACAAGGTGCTCTCCCTTTTTAAATTCTCAGAAGCTGTTTGTCTTTAATTTTTGAGCAAACGCTGTACCCAATGTGGGGCTCGAACTCATGACCCCAAGATCAAGAGTTCCATGCTCGGGGCGCCTGGGTGGCTCAGTCGTTAAGCGTCTGCCTTCGGCTCAGGTCATGATCCTAGGGTCCTGGGATCGAGCCCCACATCAGGCTCCCTGCTCCGCGGGAAGCCTGCTTCTCCCTCTCCCACTCCCCCTGCTTGTGTTCCCGCTCTTGCTATCTTTCTCTGTCAAATAAATAAATAAAATCTTAAAAAAAAAAAGAGTTGCATGCTCTACCGACTAAGCCCGCCAGGCGCCCCAAAACCGTTGGTCTTTATTGTCGTGTCCTCCAACTGGCCTTGGAGCAGCAATCCTGGACATTCTCGCAGGGAGGCTGCACAACCACAGCAGCCTCAATGCTTTGCTGCTGCATTACTTATAACAAGGCTTCGTGTTCATTATCCATCTTCTCAAATTCATCTATTCCACAAATACTCTGATCACCAAGTAGAAGGGCATCAGCTTCCAAAGCAAAATCTCCAGAAGAACTAGCTTTTGAAGAGTTACCATCGGGCACCTGGGTGGCTCAGATGGTTAAGCGTCTGCCTTCGGCTCAGGTCATGATCCCAGCGTCCTGGGATCGAGTCCCGCATTGGGCTCCCTGCTCCTTGGGAGCCTGCTTCTCCCTCTGCCTCTCTCTATCTCTCTCTGTCTCTCATGAATAAATAAATAAAATCTAAAAAAAAAAAAAAAGTTACCATCAAGCCAGAGGTGTGTTCTCACCACAAACACATGCGTCATGGAGCAATGCTGCATGCTGCCTGTAGGGATTGGACTCTTACCCAAGCCTGCATCTCCAACTACAAGGACACGGGGATCTCCTCCAATCGGAATTCTGTTTTTGTCATCTGCCTATTTTTGGCTTCCCCCAGAGTGCCACTGCTGGACCTGCTTTAACAAGTTCATGAGCAGGGGCGCCTGGCGGGCTCAGTCAGAAGAGCATGCGACTCTTGACCTTGGGGTTGTGAAATTAAGCCCCACGCTAGGTGCAGAGATTATTTAAATGAATAAAACTTTAAAAAAAAAAAAGGTTCATGAGCAAAAATGATAGGGCAAAGCAGGTTGACAAAGAGTTTAAACAGGTTTTCAGCCTCAATCTCTCGGAGGGCATAAAGGTCTTAAATAAGAACCCCATCAACGCTCCAAGCTTATACCCATCTTCGGAAGCCTTTGTTTTCTGTCTTTTGCTCTTACTAACAAAACCTTCTCCAATGTACAAAAGGAACATGCATTTGTCATTATTTCGAGAACCTTCTTTGGCATTTGAGACTTTGACAGCTCATCTTCCTCAATTCATCCTGTCCCATTGTTATCAAATCCTATTCTCTTTGAATGCAGTCTTCCCATTAGTTCCAGAAATTATCAGAGCCCCGTATTTGTCAAAGTCCTCTCCATGAATCTTCTTAAAACTGAGACACATTTGCGAGAGTGTCAGAGTAAAACAACAACTGCAAATGATCAAAAACTCAAACCCGGCTGTGGTTAAAGATCTGGTTAGAGTTCATTACAATGCAATCAACAAGGAAATGTGGTTATTTTTGTGATACATAACACTTTAATAATTAGAATTACAAGTGATGACATTATACCAGGACATATCAAAACCTTAGGAATTCTGGAACAGTTACAGCATCCACCCACGTAATATACTCTCTGAAGGTTTATCATCACTTATTTCAATGCTTCCCATGGAATTGGACACAACAACTAAGCCCAATTAGTAACAAAACTCAACACTTCATTTACAGGTTGAATTTGGGGAAGTTTATCAGAAATATCAGAACAGATCATTACAAAACTTAATACTTAATGATCTATTTTGCTAAAGTGGCAATAAGAGATTCTAAAGGCAAATACAGAGGGTTATATGGTTGTTAGCAAAACTTCGCTTTTTTAATATTGAGAAGATTCAACTTTAAGTAATCAAAGACCTAATTAGGGCAAAACATGGAAACTTTGTTTTTCTAGGAAGATTACATTAAAGAAAAACCTTTGTTTACAATTTCTTATTAAGAGTGGACCAATAGGGGGCGCCAGGGTGGCTCAGTTGGTTAAGCGACTGCCTTCGGCTCAGGTCATGATCCTGGAGTCCCAGGATCAAGTCCCACATCGGGCTCCCTGCTCGGCAGGGAGTCTGCTTCTCCCGCTGACCCTCCCCCCTCTCATGCTCTCTCTATCTCATTCTCTCTCAAATAAAT